AATGAATTTTTGAAAAAAAAAAAAAAAAAAAAAGAAAAAAAGTAAAATTAAAAAAAAAAAAAAAAAAAAAAAAAAAAAAAAATATCACCTTCGATATATCGATGGTAACTTATAAGAAAAAAAGAATAAAATCCGGCGCTTGCAGCCGAATGTTTTTTTTTGTTGCTTTCCTTTCCTTTCAATGTTTATCGAGGACTTGTTCGCATCGATGAGCAATATGGGTGTTTAAATCAGATTTTGTTTCATTCGGTTGAACCTATTAAAGGTTGATTTGATTTTTTCTATTTATTTATTTCCTATACGAACAGAAAACGAGAAACATATCACATGAATGATGACAATCGATGATGCCATTATTATTGATTATATAATTTTTTAGCCTTTTTTTTTGGTTTTCTGCTTGAAAAATAAGGATGTAGATATGTATGATAGTGGGATTCAAAACGAACGATGATACTATACTTTGTGATTTTATCGACGAATGAATTTTCAATCGAATGATTTTTTGTCAATAATTTTCGGTCTTCGATTTCATCATTTCTTTATATTTTTTGCTCATCCATAACCATTAGTTTTTTTTGGGGGTACTTTATTCGAAGTTCATTGATGATTGAATTTGAGAAATTGAGACAATCTAGAATCTAGATTTACAGACTTTCAATGTTTCTTTTGGCCAAGGACATAAAGATTTATTTAAAGAACAATTTAGATTCTGTTTATTCTTATATAGAGTACAAACAAGAAAAGACAATATACAAACGTTTCGGCAATGATTGAAATGAAATGAAATGATGAAAATTAAAAAGAACAATTCAATTCATTTATAAGTTTTTTTTGGTATTTTCTCGAATATAATTATATTTTTTTTAAAAGTTCATGTATAATCCATTGTTGAACATAACAATTCATTTCAAGAAATAATTCCAAAAACAAATGAAAATACAATATGCATTGAAAATTGTACATCATATCGTCAATGAATAAAAGTTTTTTCTTTCTTTTGGAATGTTTTTTTTTTATTCGATGATGCAGATGTTTGAAAAATGCCATTGCTATCATGTGGCTTTGATGATGATGATGATGATAATTATGATGATAATAATATCGATAATTAATTTGTTTGAATTTCAGTAAATTAACTTGGATTAATTGAAAAACTATTTATTCGACTACTGTTACTGATTTTCGGATATTATTATTATTATTATTATTATTCAGACTGAAGAACAGATGTACTAAATCATAACGGGCGTTTCATCAATAATAATGGTTTGGGCCACCATTTAAATCGATATGATCAAACTGTTTTTTTTTGTTTTTAGTTGCCTGAAAAAAAAATAAATTTTCACGGTCTTATTCAATTATCTAATTGAAATTGAACGAATTCAATTTCAACATAGACACACTTATTCGACAATTATCGTTTTTTTTCTCATTCGCTTAGCTATATTTAGGACATTGGTTGTTAACGAAATTTCTATACACACAGATAAAGTTGGGACAAATTTTCTATTTGCTCATTTCTTTAGATTGATAAGTGAAAACACAGTTTTTTTCTTTGACTTTAATTCTTTCTTTCGTCATTTGTTCAATAACAAACGTGACAATCATTTTTTTGATAGAAATCGAATTGCCACACGGCTTGTAATAAAAATTCCGATTTTTTTTGAGGGGGAGAATAACATACGAAAACCAATCAGGTCAAATTGCCGATTGATAGTTTTCGGTTTTGAAAAGGAAAGGCACAGGAAAAAAACAAATAAAGAATGAATGATGTAATCAATATCAACGACTTGAAATTATTGGATTGAAAATTTTTTTGTTTTTGTTTTAAGATTTTGTTTGCTGTGCTGTGCAAGTTTGTAAAATTCTAAATTATCATTATAAAATGGAACAGAAAGTGAAAATATTTTTAAAATGTAAAAATCGATTTTCTCCTCACTTTCTCTCATGGTCCGATATTGAAAAAAATAATAATAATTTATTTTCACTGTTCATCAGTTTATGATTTAATATAGATTTTTTTGTGATACATAAAGTAATTGAACATTTTTGGTAGTTTCAGCAACATTATCATTTGTCATCATAACATTGTTGGCCATTATGGCTGCTGGTAGAAATGAATATGCTGTTGTTGTTGTCCGATAAGTTTTTGGGTCATACTGATTATGATGATGATAATGTTGATTTGATGATGGTTGTTGTCTGATGTGTAATCGATTCAATAATTTTGTCAATTTTGTTGTTGTTCGTTGTGATTCTTCTCTAATCATACGTTTATTGAAACTAAAACCAATTGCATTACGATTCGATCCATTAATATTTGAATTAGTATTACTGTTACTGCTGCTACTGCTACTGGAACTTGAATCAGCTACAATTATATTGGTGTCGTTCAAATCATTATGGTTGTCATTGTCGTTACAATTAGTGAATTGCTTTTCATTCTATAGTTAGTTCCAATTGGTAAGTGGTTTGAACGAATACATGAATGAATATATGAAAATAAGAGAAAAATTAATTGAGCAATTGATTGTATTTGAAGAGGTCAAAAGACCACAAGAAAAAAATAGAAAAATAAATAAATTGGTTTAATTCATTGATATTCTATTGTACATTCAAACGTGAAAACCTTAATTGTAATACTGACCTCTTGCTGTTGTTGTTTTTGTTCATATCGATAATCGGTTAATGTTCGTTTATTTTGATTACGCCATTTGTGGTTATCGGTGCAAGAAACTTCAATTTGTTGGCCGTCATCATCATCATCATCATCAAAATCAACGGAAAAGTTGTCATGTGTCGTCGTTGTTGACAAATTGTATGCTCCATAATGTGATCCATTTCTCATTGATCGATTTAAGCAACGTTTGATTATAGCCAAACATTCTCTTATCGGTTTCATTATGATGATTATTGTGGTTTCCAATGCTGATGTTGGCTCAACCGAATCAATAATCGTTTGGTCTTGTTTTGTTGATACGGATTCTAACAATGATGACAATGAAAATGATAACGATGACAATGTTGAATCAATGTTGTTTTTCGGTTGATTTGTTTGTTCATGGTTTGGTATGTTTGTCAATGATCGTGATGGCCAACAATGAAAAGTTTGTTGTTGTTTCGTTCGAATTGTCGACTCATTAGTGTCATGTTTGTTCCATATACGATTCTGTTGCTGTTCAACAACATTGTCAGCATCTTGGTCTAACTGAATAATCTCATCAGGTTTATTTTTATCATCAGCAGCTATATGCTGTTGTTGATTGTTCTCATGACGATCATTATGAACTTCAATAGAAGAAATCAATTCTTCATGATTAGATTTTTCATCCGACACTGTTGTTTGTTGATTTAGATTTTTTGTTTTTTCATCTTGTTCATTTTGTTTTCGTCGACGCCGTTGTTTCAATGCTAGGATAATAACAACAAAAAAAACCAAATAAAAAAACAACAAACATGAAAAACTGTGAAACAATTTTTTATCAAATAATTTACCCAATAATACTGATGGATGATGTGGATGTGTACCATGTGTATCATTATTAACCGATGAACTTGATAAAAATCGTCGTAACAATGCACAACCAATACCAATTATGATCAACAAAACGGTGATTACGATCAAACCTTTTAAACGTAAATAGGCCCAATTTTTACGATTATTAATTATTCCGGATGATGATGCTGAAAACAAAACAATTTAAAATGAAAAAAATTTAGCCAATGAAAATAAATACATGTTGAAAAACAAAATTATCTATTGTGCTTTATGATATGATTTCTTGATTATTAGTTGATAGTGATAATGATGATGATCATCATCATCATTTTAATCGAATAAACTATATTGCAAATCGGATAATCACATTGTTAATTTTAGCCATTGGTATGTTATCACTTAAATGCTATAGAGTTCATCATCATCAATAATCTTTGAAAATGAACTGATTTTAAGATAAGAATTCGGTATGTTTTCTTTGGCTGATTTGTTGTGTGTGTGAGCGCTCACGTTTTAGATTTAAGATAACATAAAAAAAGTCATACATTGATTGTCTGATCCAATAACGACGATGTTGGTGGCCTTCCCATAATCTTCAATATGATTGAAATTGACATTCAAATAAATCAATGGTTCACTAATGCCAATTGAATTGTTGGAATAAATAATAATATCAACATCATTGTCTTGATTAAAATTTGAATCAAATTGAAATTGTACGGTTTGCTGGATGGATTCGTTTTTATGATTATCATCATGGATTATTGATCGTGAAGTGAATAGTAGAATATTTTCTGTCTCAATTATAACTCGATGTTGTCGTTGATGTTGTACGATAATATCATCAAATTCACTTTCACTTTCTTTTATTTTTTCATCAATATCAATCTTTTCGGTTATTGATTCCACAGCAAGGATTAAACTTCTCAACAATGACAAGGATTTTTTTGAGAAATCCTTTTCACTTTTTAACGAATCATTCCAAAATTTTTGCCATCTTGTATTTGATAATAGACCAATTAGATGAAATGATTGTCCAGACGACGAAGATGATAAACTACCATCGTTTCCAGGGATACATTCAACAAAAGCTTTCGTTTCTTTATCGCTAGATGGGTCAATTGTTTTGTTCAATCCAAACATACAATTTTGTATCTTTTGCGGTGGACCTGGTGAAAGTTCATTAGGTTATGATAGCAATAACTTTGTTATTGGAAAGATTTTCTGCTGTGAATTCGGTATACAGTGACATTTCAATTGAATGCTTACCCGGATGAATGTGTAGCATAAACGTGCATGGTTTTTTCTGCTCACCAATCATATTCTGTGCTTGACATTGTAGCAATAACGTAGAATATGAATCCATCAATGGCTCATTAATAATCGAATCGCTGTCATCATATTTTTTATTATCACTGAATTGAGGACCATTATAATTGACAAAATATCGATTCACAGCGATAATTACATCCAATATCGAACTGTCATTATCAATTATGATTGTTTCTGTTAACGATGTTTGATGGCTATCATTTTCGATATCTCTCATTTCGGCAGAATCATCATTGTCATCATTGGTTTTTATTTCCATTTCATCAACTGATGTTGTAAGCTTTGAAGATGATAATTTCCATTTGTAGGTAACATTAACTGATGGTTCCGAATCGATTTGACAATCGACCATCATTTGGCCAACATTACGGCGAACAATTAAGAATTGTGTTTCTGGATTCATACATTTTGGTGCATCTAAATAATCGAAAAAAAAAGAAAATTGAAAATAAGTCGACAAGTTATAAAATGATTTCTTAGAATTTGAAAAATGTACTAAGTATAACGATTTTCTCACAAATTCAACTGTATTCATCGCTTTCAAGATATTGAATAAATAAAGAATAGTCTCAAATGAAAACTTCAAATAGTATGATATTTCATGATTGTAAATGTCATTATCATTACAATCACAATCATCAATACTTACACGCCACATTTAATTTGATAATTTCACTAAAGCTTTCATTGATAGAATTAAACGCTTTACAACGATAATATCCGGAATGAATAAAACGATTGATCGTTTTCAATCTTAATGTTTGATTGTGATTGGTTAAATAAAAATGATGAGATGAAATAGTAATATCATGAATCGTTGATGATAAATTTTCCAATTCCTTTTCATAATCATCTACAACATCGATAATAGTATCATTTAAATACCATAACACTTTCTCAATCCATGGATTTGCTTTGATATGGCAATTTAATTCCAATGACAATAGATGTTCGGCAATAGTAATAATTTTCTGCTCTGGTTGTTCCACATCATCAACATTAAAATTACGTTCAAATTGTATTAGACCTAAATCGTTAATATTGTAGTTATTCTTATTATTATTGTTATTTTGACTATTGTTTTCCGGTTGTTGTTCTTGTTGTTGATTATCTATCTGTAATCCAATTCCAATTGTAACGATCGGTCCATCTGTCATTTATTAAATAATATTTGTTATTTGCAATTTAACATATGAGAAAACAAAAATTTCCGATTAGAATATGTAATCGCATGTGTGAAATATTATTGTTATTATCATTTATTGAATCAATAGAATGATATTTTTCGGAAAAAATAACTATAAACACACTAATATTATACATACATTGAATATTGAGCGTTATTTTATCGGTTATCCTGTTGTTGTTGTTGCTATTGTTATTATTACTTCGGCTACTAAACGAATTGTTCGCGGTCATATTATTATTATTGTTATTATCGGCCATGGCGATAAATGGATTGGAAGCCTGACAAGAAAGAATACGATTATTGTCACTAAAATCGGGTATGAATCGAATAATTGATAAGGTGCTATTCGTTTTATGTGTTTCCATAATGGACAAAAATTTACATCGTCGTCGATTCTTTTGTCGTTGTTGTTGTTGTTGTTGAGATAATAAGTTGTTTTGATAGTTTATTTGTTCATTTACTGTTAGTTTCCAGTTTGAATTGTCATTACTCAACAACATTTCTGATGATGATGTTGTTGTTGTTGTTGTTTTTGCTATTTGGTTGACCATTTGTTCATTTCCGTTTACAATGTTACTATCATCATTTACAATACAATTATTAAAAGATGTTGACATCCATTGATATGAAGCAGTTTTTTGAATCAAAAAATCATTATCGACACTGTTGGATGCTATTTTGGATGGAACAATTATTCGTTGATCATCAAGAAACCATTCGATATTGGCATTTGGTTTAGAACCTTCAGTACGACAACCATATTCGACAATTTTATCAGCCATCACTGGCTGTGTTGCGGCTGATAAACTTATCTGTTGATGATATCGACTCATAAAAATTCTGACGGTAACAGGCATCACTGGACAAGTCAAAAATAGTAAATTATAAAAATAAAATAAATAATGATCATTATTATAATGATATCAAATTATCTGGCTACGATCAAATGAGAATCTAAAACAAAACAAAACAAAAAACAAAAATAAAATTCATCTCCGTTTATTATTACAATTCATGTCGATTGTAATTGAAGCAATCAATGGACGATAATAGAATCGAGTCGACGCACGGCAAAGATAGCTGGCCATATAATCATTACGATCTAATCGGCGTAAATTGAGAACATTAACAACTGCCATTCGTACAATACCATTGATTGTTGAATTCTCTAATGTATACGATTCGTAGCTATCATCGACAATTTCTTCATAAAGTCTTTGTTTTCGAAACCAAATTACATTCGGCTTCGGATTTCCTGTTTTTGTTTGTGTATGTGATCGTGATTGAAATAAGAATCGACGACAAACGAACAAAATGGAGAATAGAAAAATAGAAAAGAAAAAAGAAACAGTTTTTTGTTATTTCACATTATCTATTTATATCAGTTATTCGATCGTTTTACGATCGTAATCAACGGGAATTAAATTTGAAACAAAGTTTTTTTTTCTCACATTCAGTTAGACTTAATGTGCTAAATCCGTCATCATACAATGAATGAAGAATACACACTTACCTCCAAAAACTTTGCAGATTAATGTAACATTTTGAAATTCATTATATGGACCAATTATACCTTCTAATTGATTTCCTTCCGTATCGGTTATGAGTATCGAGATCGGTGGGCCTACAAAAAAAATTTTTTTTGCTTTTGTCAGCCAAATTAAACTAATGAAAAAAAACCGATACTAACCAACAATGTTGAGGCGTATTTCAGTGGAAAATGTACGATGATTCGAGTATTCTACTCGACAATGATAAAGGCCTTCATCATGTTCGGTCACGTTTTTGATTCGTAACAAAGGCGTCATTTTACTTAGATCCAAAACCATACGACTATCATTTGTTATATGTCGTACGGCCGGATTAGTTAACATCGAATGATCGATCGGTATTTGTTGTTCGTTATCATCATTAACCTCTTTATCATTATTAAGCAAATTGCCTAAAGCTCGTGCATCAACTGTATAAAATGGAACGTTAACTCCATCTCGATACCATAGAATTAAATTGATTCGACCAAATGAATTACGATATCGTATTTGTTTATTAAGACTATTATCCGATTGATACGATTGATGACGTAATAGATTCCAATCTATTAATGAACTTCTTGTTTCACATGGTATGAATGCATCCTGATTCAAAATGGCTGTTATTTTCATCATACGTTCTACTTGATTTGATATCAGAATCAATTTTTCAATTAAATCGAAACAAAATATATCAATTACCTGAATAAATAAAACTGAACATTAGAATGAATACGTAAAACGGAAGCTCAAATGTATTCAATATTATCATATTCATCATAAATATTTGCTATTATTATAAATGAATGAATAAAAATTTAAAACAAAAGAAATCATGATGAATGTATTTTTACTTGCGAAAAAAGAAAAAGAACAAAACAAAAATTAAAAGATCATCGCCCAAACAATGATGTCCAACATATAGTGGTGAAACAATAATATGTCCATGATTTATTTCATTTTTTTTGTTTCGCCAATGCCATCGCTATTTCTAACTTTTCCCGTATTTGATTTAATCGATTTTGTGGGCGGATAATTTTTGTGATGATCTAATGACATTTTTTTTCATCTTTCTTTTCGTTTCTTTTGTTCGACGAATTGTTGAAATAAAATTTTTTTAGTTTTTTCTCTAATTCGATCGCGCTTCATTTCGTTCGATTTCATAATCATCATCAGCATCATTATTATTATTATTATTATCATCGATAAATGACTATCGATTCTTTTTTTTATTTCAACATAATAATCATCTGCAGCAGTAGGAATCGATTTTCCATTGGTCTAATGATTTTAAGATGAATCAGCCTTCTTTTGTCCATCACATATCATCATCATCATCATCATAATCGTCATCATCATCATCATTAACATCATTTGCAGAAGCTTATAATCCCATATTTCTTTTACAGATAAATATATACAGTACATCCTATGAATAACCTTCGGGCCTTGTTTCGAACAAAAAAAAAATTGAATTGAATCAAATCGAATCAATCAATAAAAGCAAGCAAAAACGATATATCCGAAAAACAATTCAATCACGAAAAAAAGAGGCGTACAAATATGGCAATCGAAATTTTGTTTGTTTCATTGTTATTCAGCAGTATTTTTTTCAATCTTTTTTTTTATTGATTGATTTATTATCACTGTTGGCATTTCCTTTTGGTTATATTTGTTTGTATCATTCCAAACATCATTTTGTGATTTATTTGAGCAATTCAACCAAACAAAAATCCATTAAATTTGGAAATTTTTTATTTTGGTAACAATAATAATTAATGATAATCAAAACTAATTTGGGTTGTAACAAAAAACAAAATGACAAAAAATGAACAATTAATTTTCCAACTTAAAGTTTCATTATCCGGTTGACTTTTACTCTTAAAATTATTACATATCATTTTAGAAAAATTGCCTAGCAAATAATTTTGATATCTCTTCTTTTTTTTTTCTTCCAGATCTTTCTTTTCATTGTCTTATCTCTCTGGCTAATGAGATCAAATTGATTAACTACATAACAGGTTATGCTACACTTTAGTAGATACTAAGAAATTTAGTTTTAATTACTATCAGGTAATGATCATAATTTGAAAAAAAAATTATAAAACCAAATAAAGTAATACAAATACGTGACATTTATAATTAGCAATTAATATCAAATTCAAATTGTTCACATAATTATGTTTTTTTTATTGTTCTATTGCACAACTATTAAATTCATTTGCCAATCAACAAACAGAAATGAAAAAAAACCAAAAACAAGCCGACAGGTGTTGATAATGATAATTGAAAATCTACCAATATGCATCCAATGTACAATTAAGAAATGATGATCAACAAAAAAAATGTACTCATCACATCTTAATTTTTCATTTTTATTTTTTCATTTTCGGTACTCATGACAACCAACAACAAACCCAAATATACCTGTGTGTCTTTTGATGATGATTATTATCAATCAGTCAAGACGCCATAGGCGTCATCAATTACCCGTACAATCAATTCGTCAACGTTATTAGCTTTTTTCTGTTTATCTCTCTCTCTCTCTCTCTCTCTCTCTCTCTTACTTAATTTTATTTTGTTGTTTTTTCAAGATCCTTGAATGATCATCAGTCATTTTTTTTAAATTTTATTTGCTTATAGATGTCCAAATGGATGTTTAATGATGATGATGTTGTTGGTGATAATGTTTGTTAGTTAGTAGATTCATATTGGTTTGGTTGATTAATAATCTTCTTTTAAACGATCATAAGGAAAAGAATTTATGTGCATGCAAGAGTTGTTTTATTTCATCAATATTTTTTTTTTATTGCATTTTACTCTTCTCCAGCACTTTCTTCTTCCTTTCTATATATGTGAAATTCTATTTTTCTAGATGTCTAGATTGCTTTTTAATTTTTTTTTAACTTTTTAAAAACATTTTATTGAAAAAAATTTCAAAATTTCACATTTCACTTAAATGGTTATTGAATCTATAACATATTTTTTGTTGGTCTGTTAATGTTGAGCGCAACCGAAAAAAAAAACAAATTTCAAACAGCTTTAATATCTTTAACCTTAATCGCTAATAGTAAATCATCATTCGTTCGTAATTGATATTTATCAACATTGATGAAAATGTCGATGACAGCTACAAATAATAATAATAATAATAATAATGACAACATTAACGGTGAACAACAAGATCTTACATCGTATCTGAAATCAATGTTCATCGAATTGAACGGTAACATTAATGATGTACATTCGAATTTACAACCACAGCCACAACAAACATCAAATAGTGCCATCGATAAGATCATTGTGAATGGTGATGGCAGTGTTATTTCAAACTCCGATGTCAAACACAGAGATGATTGTAGCCGCCAACAACAACAATGTGAAACAAAAAAATCTGAATTAACAAAACCGTTCGTCATCACCAATGTTGGCGTTCAACAAATAATTGACGATAATAATAACAATGTTGTTGCGGTCACTGATGATGATGATGATGATAGTCGTAACAAAATCGAAACAAAAAATACGAAAGATACATTAAATAAAATTAATGGTTCTTGTGCTTCGACTGTTCAAACAAATAATTCGAGCACTTCATCACTATCATCATCATCAATGATGATGAACGAAGAGAAAAACAATCAAAGCATTATCCTAAACAGTAATGATCAAAAACAGGATATAGTAAGTAAACAGCAGCCAAAAGAGCCGTTTAATGACCAGAATCAGAAACAAAATCAAAATGATAGTCTTACTGATAATAATAATAATAATCTTGGTAATAATGATGATCATCATCGAAAAAAACAAGAGCCAAACAAAATTAAACATACGAATGATCATGGTGATGATGAAAATGATGATGTTCAAACAAATACAAGTTCTGATCAAATACAAGCACGAGAAAATTTTATTGTTGAATTGATGCAAAAAATAGACAATCGAAAAAATCATGATGATCAACCTTTCAATACAGATAATAATGATAATCCAACTACAATTGAACAACATGAATCTTCTGAAATCGATGAAAATTTACAATTGAATAATCTCGAATCGTCATCTTTATCATCATCGCCTGCAGAAAATCAATCGAACGAATCGGGCATACATTCAACTGAATCAGGATGTAGCAGTGTTAGTCAAGTGGAAATATCATCCATTAATTCAGTCGAAACAAACAACAGCAATAATGGCGTTAATCAACGATCAAATGATCCAGATAATCAGATTTACAGCCGATCAACTAGTATGGTCGAAGTTTTTGATAGTGATACTATTCCAGTAAATAAACAAAAAATATCTAATTTTCGTTTCGAATCATTGAAACAAGAACGTCCAGTAACCAGAACTCGTGTAAAAGAATTACGTGAATTCTGGAATAATCGTTCTTTGATTGATAAAGCTACACAAAATAATAAATAGTAAAACACACATGACAAAATGGCAATTTTTATTTAAAAATTTTTATAATGATTTATTTTGTAACTTTAGTTGAAATTAAAAAATATTTATGTTACTCAAATTATGAATAAATCTGCATTAAATAGTACACAATATATAATGTGAATATTCATTTTAAAAAACTGAGAAAAAAAGTTTTAAATTTTGACATTAATGATGTTGATGATGATGATACAACAAATCGTGATATTTTTTTTCTTCAATCAATCAATTTTGTCATCAATTTTTCGTAAAGCATTGATACGATCCAAAATCGGTGGATGTGAATGCAACAAAAGAGAATATAGCCAATCATAAACGGGGAAGCTGAGATTATCCTTGTTCAATTTGATTAATGCATTAATCAATTCGGTACGGAAATTTAATTTTTTGGCAAAATTGTCAGCTTGAAATTCAAATTTACGACAAATGATGCTCATGCTAAAGTTGTAAATCTAAATGATAGAACAAAATTATTAAAAAAATTATATACCTCCATCAAGGTATTCTTACCTCAAAATATAGAAGAAATATGGTCTCAATAATGATAGTAAGACCAATGAAACGTGGTCTATTTTCTCCATAGAAACCAAATGCATGATAAATTACAGTATCATTATAGAATAATGATGCTATTTTGAATATGAAAAATAAATTAAACAATGATATAACTAAATTTTTGAATAAATGATTATGATTCCAATGGCCTAATTCATGACAAATGATAGCCACAATTTCTTTCTCAGTACATCCGCTTGCTTTTTTCTCATTAGTTTTCTTGGTTTCGGTAGTCGTACTTTTTTCCTTTTCCGATTCTTCTGTTGTTTCAGTTTTTTCTTCTTGTTGATCCTTTTTAAAATATGGTGAATCTTTATCGAATAATGTGTCATATAGGACAATCTGTTTTGATTTGAAAAATCCATAGAAATAAGCATTCGAATGGCTGGAACGTTTTGAACCATCAACGACAAAAATGTTTTTCAATGGAAATTTGATTTGATTTGCTAAACGTTCGATCTCGCTTCGTAGAGAACCTTCCTTCAATGGTGTATATTTATCGAACAACGGTGCAATCAACGATGGATAAATGATCATGAAAATGATGGCAGTTCCACTCGAAAAAAGCCATAAATAGAAAAAGAATTGATCTTCATAACGTATGATGATGTAGGTGGCACCGCCGACCAACAATGATATAATCGGTTGAAATACGAGAAATTTTTTCAACGTATCCCAAAGGAAAAATTTGATTGTATATTTATTGAAACCATGACGTTCTTCAATGACGAAATTCGAGTACAATGAAAACGGAAAATCAATGACTGCAGATATGGCGGTTTGTAATAGGAAAAACACGATGGTCGAAACGACTTCATTTTGATAGCCAAGATATTTATCAGTTATTTGTGTCGACCAATTCCAGAGGATCGAAGCCAACAAAATCCAGAGAATTAGCTATGTTAGTCAATATTAGTCATCTATAATAAATTATGCAAAATACAATTTGTTTTACATACCACTTTTTGAAAAATGCTAAAAACTTCACGAAAAAAACCGAAATAACTTTTGTCAAGATTATAAAGACGTGCTTTGTTGAAGCTTTCCTCATCCATATAAGGTGCCAAATCAATGGGTAGTTTTTGCTGAGATTTATAAATCCTGTGCTGTGATTATAATTTTTCATTTTTTAAAAGATCTAAAATGACCAATATAAATCGCTTACCTGACGATAGTGAAGATAGAGATCCCAAAGACTAATTAATACATTCGAGATCAATGCATAATAAAAAAAATTAATCGGTGTCCAATATGGACGAAACCAATCGAGTAATTCGTCCAACATTTTCTATTTCATTAAATTACAATAAATTTCCAAATTTAACAAAAAAAAATCGAAAAAAATATAGAAAATCCAGCCGGCAATTGAATAATTTTGATAAATTGACAAACTTAAACTCGAAACAAAGAAAAATGACACGATCCATATACAACGGTTTTTTCTCTCAATTGTCAGTGTTGAAGTGTTGCGCTGCAGCGTGCCATCCCAAATTGAAATTTTTTTTTTCTTTTCTCGAAACATCCATTGAAATATTTTGTTCGTAAAGTATAGGACGAATGATTTGGCTGCCAACACACACATTATTGTTGTATCAACAACAATATTTATATTTCAAATCTAATCAACAAATTTGTTTATTTACAACAGTCTGACTATTTGATGATGAAGAATTAATTAATTTATTGTCATTATAGTTGCTGAAACAAATACATTTCTGATCATTCTGTATGTGATATTTTCTTAGCATTTTATTTAAAGATGTGAAAATAATTATATCTTTTCTTTTCACATACGTTTCAGGTGAAATTCGTTTGTAGTCGTGGCTATAGTTCAATTTTCAATTCATCATTCATACTCCTGGAATGAATAACCTTGATTGTTGCATCTTATTATTCTATACTACCTACAATCATTTTATCTAAAATAACTGTTAATGCAAATGTTTCGATATTTTTATATAAATTCAATTTGACGAATTGGATTTTAAATTGATGAACCAAACATGGATCAAAAACGATCCACATCCTCACCGTCTATTTCGAAGGAATTCGAATCATCATCATCTTTAGAAATGTCTATTCAGCTAACAGATAGAAATTTACTTGATTTTCCAAATGAAATTCTTCATGAAATTTTCAAATTTATTTCATTTGAACAGATCTCCAAAATGCGTATTGTTTGTCATCGTTTTAATCGTGTTTGTTCCGATTTATTAAATAAGGAATTTAATTCACTTCTTAACTTTACACAACAATTTTTTCAAACTGTTAAAAGTCAAATGCCACGAAGAGAATCGGCTCGTCGTAAACATGCTCTTGCTCGCGAATATGATATAATTGAAACATTAAACATGCGATTAACATTATTACAAATGACATTCAGCAAGCACATTAAACGTAAACAATGTTGTTTTTTTCCAGGCGAAATTATCGATGAAGTTTATCGAATTCTTAACTATATTAAACATACGCCTGTCGTAAATCGCGCATACAAAGTAACGGATGAATTATTCGACCTATCAACAATGGCCATGGAATATTTTAAAGAATTTATCGAACCAAAATTGCCTGATGTAAATTATCTTATTCTTGATTATGAACCATATCCCAATCTTTCATCATCATTGTCTTCATTGGAAAAAGGTATTAGCAGTAGTAATAATTGTTATAATGGCAATAGCTCTAAAGCTACACGATTGAAGCCAATATTTGAATCATCAATGGGAAATAATAGTAATAATCGAAATAAACAAGCTATTGATAATTCAAAACTAATACGATTAAGCGATGATAAAAGTAAAAAAGAATCATTTGTTTCTTTAGATTCATTTGTCAAAAGTGCAACTATACGATTGAAACGTTTGGAAAAATCCAACACAGAACATAATAAAATGTCTCGAACAATAAAATCGTCAATGGAATCATCTAAACGTAAATTCTGTGAATATCAAAAACAATTACGAAAACATCAAACACATCTAGACGAATTGGATCGTAAACTAGAAGGATTCAATTCAAAATTCAATCAAATTTTAGAAGATTTGAGCAAAATAAAAGAAATTATACAAAAACAGACAACAAGTTCTTTCAATGAAGCTTCTACCCAAACTGACGAACAGCCTGTTATTGGAGATTCTTTGGATTGTGACATACAACAACCTCGACGAAAACGGCAAAAAATATCCGATTAAAACTTCATCGTATTAGTCATCAATATTTCTACCGAGTGAAGTCAAAATGACTTTGTTGATTTTTAAACTAAAAATTTTCTTAGAGCATTTTCTTTTTTTTCTTAACTAATATTTTATGTTTTTTCCATAATGATTTTTCGATTTTATTCATTGCAAATATAAATTAAATAATCTTATAGCATATTTCATCATTTAAATGATTATCATCGATTGTTTCCCAAGTGAAACCATCTCTTTTTGGTCCAAAATTTGAAGGCAATAATATATGAAGCCATGGATGTCGATGGCGATCAAAGCCTAAAAATCTACGCCAATTTTCTCGCCATCCAAAATCATATGGATTCTGGTAATGGCGATTATATTGTTGAAAATGTCGACGACATTTACGATTAATATAACGTTCAATGCATGTTTCACCGTTAGTTATCAATATCGTGTGATAACGTAATAACAAACCTAAGCAAACGAATAATATTGATAAAATATTATTATACAAATATTTCATGTTATACCTAGAAGAATAAACAATAATACTGTTATAATGGCTTCAAAAACCATCAATTTTGTTTTCCATTTTGGTCGATTGAATAACCATAAAAATCGGATGACTAGCGAATCTGTAATATAATCCTTTTCGAACCATGGAATATATATGGGTTCGAACGGACTGAATTGAGAAAACCAATGATCAACGGCTATCCAAACGCCAAAAGCCATAACAAAAATTGTACCCAACCATGTGTATGCACAAAAGAAATAGAAATACCGATGATTATAATGGCCAATGCAATTATTTAGCCATGGACAATGATGATCCATTTTTAAAATGCATCTATTTTTTTCGAATTAAAGTACATGTCTCAACTTATATAAATTTGGTTTCTTTCTCTTACTTGTTGCAAACCGAACAATGATGGCATCGTGGTGGTTTAGCTGCTGAACATTTTTTACAAAATGAAGTCACTTCGATTATAATCGGTTTCTGATATAATTAAATTATTTTTCAAAAATTTTTTTATTAACCTATTAATGTACATACATCAATGGCCCAACCAGGTAATGTATATAGTGATTTAAAATAATTCCATATCACATTGATCAAAAGCCAGTGCCCAATCGTAAAGGCTATCCAGAAAATTGGCTGTGATCGATGATACCAATATGGAACTCCTATGAAATAAAGAAATGGCCTTTAATTTTTTTTTCAATATTTTGTTAAAATGAACTCGACAAACCAATAATATAGGCAAAGGAAATGAATGCAAACAAGAGGAAAAATACAACAAGAACGAATAATGTTCCACAGTATTTAAGATAATGATCGATTGCATAAAATAAAGGATCTAAAATGGTATCGGCTAGATAATATGCGTTGGAATGTATATTATAAAAATGACTTTTGAAAAACAATGAACATAATTGGCAACGATCAAAGAATTGACGTTGCCAACGATTCCGAATCAAAGACCATTTATGTGATAATCGCCTGATTGAATATTTGGGCATATTTTATTCATTATTTCCATGAAATGGAATCGTCATTTTCTTAAAATAACGGTTTTCTCATGTTTATAACTCATGATGATGATAATTTGACAATTCTAAAGAGCTATATCCACACAAACAATTATATTCTGTTGATCGAGTCAAAATCGTTGCCACATAAGGTGTTTATAAAATTTTACGTTCAGTATTATCTTCTTTATTTATTTTTTATTGAACAACGATAATTTTTAAGCAATTAAATATAATGTCAAATTTGAATACAGATGCATTAGAACGCGAAGTCTATCAGACTGCTTTCAAACATGTATCGAATATGCTTCAACGTCCAGATCAATTGGACAAAATTGAGCAATATAAGAAACGTGCAAAACGAAATATTGTAAGTTGTTCAATTGATATGATTCAAAATTGATTATTGATATTTCATTTGTATGAAGAATTCTAAAGAAAGTATGCTAAAAACAGCGATGCAAACACAATTGGATGGAGTTAAAACTGGATTGATACATTTAAAGGCTTCGGCAAATGATATAAACGAAATTAAAAACATTATTCGGCTTATTGAAGAGACATTTCCTTCGATCCCGATGTTATATGAAAAATTGAAATATGTTCGCGAAGAATCAATGAAACATAGTCAGTATGCTGTGTCGATGGAAAATTTAAAACACATTTTCAATGTACCAGAAACGGTTGCGAAAACGCGTGAAATGATCATGGAAAATTATTTGCTTGAAGCACATCTGAATCTTTATGAATTGGAAAAATCGCGCGACAATCTCCTGTTTCAATTGCATCGTCTGGCACCCACCAACAATGCCGACAAAAATATGTTGAAGCATTATTATGCTGAAGTTGAAAAATTGTCTGATGAATTGGGAAAACAACTTTGGCTCATCATTCGTTTAACATTAAACACTGTACGCAAGGAACCTTCATTGATCGTAACAGCTCTTCGTATAATCGAACGTGAAGAACTATTAGATGAAGCAGCAATGAAACGAGCCGAGTCGACAGGTTTTATGTCACAGGGACGACCAAAAAATTGGAAAAAAAGAGTGTTCGAAATCCTGGAAGAAGCGGTAAACGAAAGAATTGCTGGAAATAAATTTCATGAACGATATGAGAACAAGATGTGGCTGGTGATGCATTTGGAAATGACAAAAAAGATCATTTTAGATGATTTAAAAGTTGTTAAATATGCATGTGTATCCTGTTTTCCACCTTCTTATGATATTGTTCGACGTATGTTTCATCTTTATCATCGATGTTTGAGTGCCTACTTACAAGAATTGGTCAGCACACTTGAAGGAAATGAATATATCACTCTTTTGAATTGGCTCAATGCATATGAAGGACCTGATTTGCTGGGACATCCTGATCTTCGTTTCTCATTAAAAGATGATTGCCTGCCTCCCTTGCTTTCCGATGAAATTATCGAAGATGTTATGACCAAATATTTGTTGACTGTCGAGAAAAACTATAAGGAATGGTTAGCCAATACCATTCGGCACGAGTCAAAAGATTGGCATACAAATCACCATCCAGAAGCTGATAATTCCGGTCATTATCAAACAACAACACCTGTTATTGTATTTCAAATGATCGATCAACATTTACAAGTCGCCAGTACAGTCAGTATGGACCTAGTTAATCGAGTTCTACTTTTATCAATGAAACATTTAACAGAATTCGCTAAACAATATCAAGAGACAGTTAACAAATATGCTAAAAGTCATTTCGCTGAACGAACACAAAATTTCACTCCAAACATGATTGCCATTTCTAATAATTGTTCCAGTTTGATGGATAATGCCTTGAAATTCCAGAAAGAATATCGTAAAGATGATCTTGATCAATTGAAAATGGATAATGCTTTCAGCGATATGATCAAATCCTTTGAAAAGCTAAAAGAAGACAGCATAGGATATTTGATCAAGGAAATCTTATTAGATGTTGATCGTGAAATCAACAAAGTTGGCAGTATTGAATGGTTGGAAGGAACCGTTTCGGTAATCGATAATGTTCGTCTTACTCTTGAAGATTATCTACCTGATTATGCCTACTTGAAAGATGCTAATTCGGATGCACTCAAACTACAATTGCAAAAAAGCCTAGCAAAATCTTACATTTCATCTATTCTTTCGAATTCAAAACGAACTCTATTAAAAAGCCAGAGTAAACGAGATGATTTTGCCATGAAATGTATAGAGGAGGCTAGAACAATTGATGCAACGATTGAAAAATTACCAACAAAAATAGCATCGAATATTGGAGTAGAAAGTCCATTCAAAGTTGTCCCAATGTTAATGGAATTTCTCAAACTAAACGATCTATCCATGCTATATCTCGAAATATCGGTAACATTCAATTCCATTCATTTTAAATTTGTCAAACTTAATTTATTTACTTTTTTTTTGCAATAGAGTTTTATGAAACACTATCCAGACATTAAAGTCGATCATTTTGTGGCATTGTTAAGTCTACGTGAAGATATCAGAGCCATTGTACGAAAGGTAAGAATTTCAATTCATTGTAGAAAATGATATATTTAATTTCATTCAATCTCAAACTTTAGAAAGTTTCCGAATCAATGCCACCGGACACGGAAATTGATAAAAATATCAGAACAATATTTTCTGAAATAATTCTTAATTAACCAATAATTATTTAAAAAATTTTATTGTTATGTGATAAAAATAAATTTTTAAGTTTCTGTTTCATTGTTGAATTTATCTTGACCGCGCCATCTATCTACGAATGCATTTTAATACCAATGTGATAGAATATTTTTAGTCCACGTCCCCTAACTCGTTTTGTCATTCAAATTCATTCGAAATTCTTGATCTCGATCGAGTTATGCGGAATAGATAAACCAAAAAAAAGAACAAAATAAAATGATATCAAGCCAATTTATTAATAAAAAATTTTTACTCTGTGCATCAGGTATATTTTTTTGCTATTTTTATTATGGTATTCTTCAAGAAAAAATGTAAGTATTGATACGTTCAGAATTTATAAACAAATCGATTTAATCAATTTCATTCAAAGTACTCGAGCTAAATATGGTGTAAAACGTGAACAATTCACCTATTCAATGTCATTAGTCTTTGTTCAATGTATTATCAACACACTTTTCGCTATTGTTTTTAATTCATTTATTACATCAAATGAAAAAGATGGAACTAAATCCAAAGATACGACAACGAATTTTCTTTATGCATCGGCATCAATTTGCTATGTTATCGCTATGGTTTCTAGCAATCGTTCATTAGAACATGTATCATATCCAACCCAAGTGATTGCAAAATCCTGTAAACCGATACCGGTCATGATCATTGGTGTTTTATATACTCGAAAAAGTTATAAATTAGCCAAATACTTCTTCGTCCTGTTGATCGTAGCTGGTGTCGGGACATTTATGTACAATCCAAATAAATCTTCATCTGCTGCTACAAACACCTATTTTATTGGCGAGTTATTGTTATTTTTATCATTGACCATGGATGGATTTCTTGGTGCTTTTCAGGATCGAATGAAAAGTGAACATCAGACCAAACCTGGCAGAATGATGTTCTGGATGAACGCCTGGTCTTCATTAATTCTTCTAGCTGCATTGATTGTCACTGGTGAACTATGGCAATTCATAAGTTTTATCAACAAATTTTCATTTGTCATCTGGTCGATTCTACAATTTTCAATCATGTCGGCTGTTGGACAATTGTTCATTTTTTTAACCATCACGAGTTTTGGTCCGTTATCTTGTTCGTTGGTCACAACCACTCGAAAATTTTTCACCGTCCTATTCTCTGTACTGTTGTTCGGAAATTCATTAACAGGACAACAATGGCTTGGTACGGGGTTAGTTTTTTCGGGTCTAGGCCTCGATATGTTTTTTGGAAGGCAGCCACCAAAACAAGCCAAAAAAAATTCAATCTAAAAATTAGCTATTTAAAATTTTTTTAATTCAGCACATATAATTTTTGTATGAAATGTAACAGTATACTTTCCCAACGATTTAATATAAAATATTCTATGGTCATTTATTTAAATATTAAAAATAATGAATTTTAATTATATCAACTTTTTTCGTTTTCACTTTTCGATCGAAATCTAAATCCATGCCCTTGACAATTAAGTTTTTCTACAAAGGATTTTTGTCGGCAACAAATCCGACAATATCCAAAATCACATTTTAATCCACGTGGATGTGGACATTGTGAACATAGTTCACGTAATATTTTTGGCGCTTTTGGACCTTTTAATTTTTTTCCTGATTTAATTTTCTTTTTTACAGGTTCCTCGCCGTCCGTTTTGGATGAATTTTCAATTACTGATGTCTCTAATGGACGATAATAAGGTTTACAAATAAAAATAGGCCAATTTTTTGGATGTTCTTTTGAATGTTGATCATCAGCAATAAATTTCTCATAATCAACTTGATATCTTTGCTTGAGCTGATCGGCTACTTTGACAAAATCATCGATCGAATGAGTTTTGCCCACAATATTTCTCAATTCCAAATTTTCTTCTAATGTGAAACAATGATGAAAAAATTTAAATATATGTCCACGAATTGATGAAAACGAGGATGAATGTTTTCGGTATTGTTCCACATAATCATAAGCTGCATCCCAAACTGCCAAAGGTTTACCAGTGAACAATGCTGGATTATACAATAGTCCTTCGGCTGACATTACACCATCAACATTGGTCTCATCGAAACATTTATCTATTTCACCTTTGGATTGAATATTCCCATTGGCGAATACAGGAATGCGAAGATTCTCTCTGTTTAAAAAATAAAATCTGTAATTACATTGGCTGAAAAAATGGATAAGGATAATCAATTACTTGACTAAGCGAATCTTCTTCCAATCGGCCAGACCCGTTTTTGTACCTTTTTGTTCTCTTAGTCTGCCATGAACAGTGATTAATGATGCACCAGCACTTTCAATCATTTTAGCATATTTGATCGTTTTTTCCTCATCTTCGAAAACACGAATCTTACAAGTCACCGGTTTCTTAAGATTTCGAGCAGCTAAATTGACTTTAGAAGAAATATAATTGAAAAAGTGTAAAAGAAAATGTTTTAATCGTACTCATGTCATAGATCAGAGACCATTCATCCTGAAGAAAGGCACCGTAATGGCCTCGTTTGGCTATAGTTTGCGGACAGCCAAGATTGAGATCAATAGCATCACAATTGGATTCAACAATTTTTGCAGCTTTGAGAAATGTTTCCGGATCGTTTGCACAGAATTGAATGATAAACGGTTGATCTGATTCTCGATCAATCTGAAGGAATTCTTGCTGATATTTAGGTTGCTCAAGAAATAGTCGAGAGTGTATCATCGGGGAATACGTACAATGAACATTGTAACGACGAACCATTAAACGGAATGCCAATTCAGATTGATCGACCATCGGCGCTAAAATATGGCGAGCTGATCGTAAAGTTTTCGACCAAAAATCACGGGCATGATTAACGGTAATCGAATAATCAGGTAAAGGCTGAGTTGTTTGTTTATCACTTTGTTCTTTTATCTCACATTTATCTTGATCAGATCTCTCAATCATCATATTCTAATTCTATAGAATTTTTTAAATATTGCCTATCAAGAATATCTCAAAAGAACTGAACACGTGACATTCCAAAAACAATTCCATCGTGGTCAAATCAATATACAACGTACTTCGCGATTCAATTTCTTAAAATCAAACCATTTTATTTGTAATTTTTTATAAAAACATTATTAAATATCATTTATTTTTTCATTAATAATTTTACAAGATTCAATGGAATTACTCCAATTTCTACCGGTTTCATTTCATCATCATTAATCGTACAAGCTACTAACCATTTTGAATCGGGTTGTAGTGATTCTGGTTTTATATACAACATCTGTCCTTTACGGAAACTTAATTCATTTGTATTACGAGCTTGAAAATTTTGTAATCCAATGGCCACAAAATGTCGCCCATTTTTGATAGTCCAATCAGGTTGATTGATTCGTGGAATCTGACCATTGGCTCCAAGTAATCGCCAAACAATATATGGCGTACCAAATATCAACGAAAAAAATGCCATCACAGGCCACAATGAAGATTGTGGCTTATCACCTTCTGTAGAATTTAATATGGGATTTTTCATTGCACTGGATGATGACATCGCTTCGCTCCAGATAACATTATTAGTTTGTTGTTCGAACATTGAGCCCAATTTTGTATGGTTTAGGCCCAAAAATTTGAACAACCATTTGATGAAACTGATCAAAGTACGAGCTAAACGAGGAAACAAGGCCAATTCTGTCAAATGATTACGTATGAAAATCAAATGATCTGCTACACCGGTTATAGTTCGAAATGATCCATAAAATGTAGAATATGTAGAATCTAATATCATGTTGATCGAGTTAAATGTTTCCAGAATCATTTCAATTGATTTGAATGCAGGTTTCATTTTTTCTTCGGCCATTTTTGATATGATTGTAGGCATTGATGGATTATAACATGGATATGGAGGATTTCGACGATGATACAAATTATTGTTCCAATTGGGATTATAATAATTGCCAACATTTTGTTGATAAATGTTTTGATTGGATGAATTATAGAAAGGTAAAGTATTAGAATTGTTATAAGGAAATTGTTGCGCAAAATAATTGCTATTAGGATTCGTAATTACAGGCGGTACATTGAGGTATCGATTAAATTCTCTTGGAATAACATTAGTATCATTTGAATCAATTGATTCGGAATGATTTTCATTCGAATTAGATTTAGAATCGGCTGATTTTACATTCATGTTCTATTCGTTTTCGTTTAACGCAATTACAAAAAAAAAGTTTTCATCCGTCATATTTCTTACAAACTCAGGTGCATTATTATAATAAGTATAGTATATGAGTATTTTTCAAACAACAAGGAAAATTAAATCGTAAATCAATAATTGCCTGAAAAAAACAAGTTTTTTTTTCACCGCGTTCATAAACGTACTATTTGAATGCATAAGAGTTATCCTGGCAAATCGCGATATTTGCAATCCAAACAAAAATATTGTCTTCTTATTACATAAACATTCGCTTATAATCCACGTCAGTTGTTTTCATTTTTGAATATTTTTCAAATAATAATTATTTACGAAATGTTTTAGTTTATATAACCGAACAAAAAAAATGGTTCTTATGACTATGATAGCAAGAATATCCGATGGATTGCCATTGGCCGCATCCATTCAGGATGATGAAACGGTTTGTAATGTTTACCCAAAATTGATTTGTTCAAACAATTATTATTTTCAAATCATCATCAATAGATTGGTCGCAATATAGTAAATTATCAAAATCAGGCCAAGCATTTATTCCGTAAAATGAATGTTGATTCCCCGTCACAAATGTCCATTGAAACAGATCCATTCATGTTTCAGTAAGTTGAATTTTTCAATTCTTTTGATGACGTTACATTTTTTATTCGGTTTTTATTCATCTTCAAAATCATAGCATTCTAAATGATAAACAAGTTTGTTATCTAGTTTTATGTGAAAAATCTTTCTCCAGACGAATTGCATTTTCATATCTGGAAGATTTGCAACGACAATTCCAACAAGATTACATGTCTCGTGTGAATAAAGTTTCACGGCCTTATAGTTTTATTGAATTTGGTATGATTTTCCTATTTGTAACATTAAATTCATATTTCATTTTCACATTACAGATAATTACATACAGAAAGCAAAGAAAAACTTCACGGATTCACGTGCAAGACGAAATCTAAATCAGCTTAACACAGAATTACAAGATGTACAAAAAATTATGGTTCAAAATATCGATGATGTTCTTCAAAGGGGTCTGGCCATTTCAGGTAAGTTTCCCGAGAAAATACTGGATAAATTTATTCATTTTTTTTGAAAATTCAATTCTTTATAGATCTTGATAATAAAGCTACAAATTTGTCCGTATTGTCACAAAAATACAAAAAAGATGCTAGATACCTGAATCTTCGTGCAACCTATGCTAAAGTTGCTGCCGGGTGTGTGGTCGTATTTGTCATCTTTATCTATTTCTGGGTTCTATAAAAAAGTCATAATTTTGCTAAAACTAAAAAAATTGTCCTATAAATCAAAATATTGATCACAATTCTATTCGCTCATTCAATATTGACAAGATAAAACTATTTTTCTTTAAAAATTTATAAAAATAATTAATAAAATGATAATTCTTGTTTAAAAAAAACTGAATTTTTCTTTTGGAATTGTCTCGAATGTCAAATCGAAATCCACTGTCATTCGAACAAAACCGTCAGAGTTATAAAGCAGTTCCCAAATCAATCATTTGGAACAAATTAAATGGAAAGTTACACAATAACAGTGTACACGCCTATATCAACGCGTGTTGTCATCATTTTAAACTCACGGCTTGATCACGTGTTTCAATTACCTTGATTTATTTTTCGATTTTGTCTGTTTTTTTTCTAATTTAAGCAATTTAACAATTTAATGATAGATAGTTATTGATTAATTTGACGAAATGGTACCCGACATAGCTTTAGTGAAAAATAAACAACAACTTCAATTACCAAATATCAACTCGGCTACACCATCACCTGGATCTATTATATCGACATCATCGCCGGAATCACTAAGTTCATCATCGCCATCCTGTCCAGGGCGATCAGAATCAGCATCATCATTTCCTAGTTCACCAGAGAATTTTTCATCACATAATTCAAATACTCATCATCACAATTCAAATGATTATTCATCTAATCATTATATACAACGTCCATATATAAATTATCATCGATTATCTACGAATAAATTGCCCGTTTGTTTGGTCAAAAGTCAACTTCTTGACCGAATACAAAAAAATGAGACATTGATAATCATTGGGGAAACTGGATCCGGCAAAACTACTCAAATACCTCAATTTTTATACGAGCATCTAATATCATCGAAATTTTACCAACCGTCTACGTTATCGAATAGAAATCGGTCAAGCAAAGAAACTATTGCTATTACACAGCCTCGTCGTGTAGCAGCTGTTTCCGTAGCACAACGAGTTGCAAAAGAATTACAATGTCAAATAGGTGACCTAGTCGGTTATAAAATTCGTTTTGATGATTGTACTTCACATAATACCCGAATCAAATACATGACTGATGGTATGTTATTACGTGAGGCCATTAGTGATCCATTGCTTTCGAATTATCGGGTGATCATATTGGATGAAGCACATGAAAGAACCGTTCAAAGTGATCTGCTATTTGGTATAGTGAAACAAGCTCAACGTTTACGAAGTGGCCAAAAACGTCCACTTGATGAAGATTCAGTTTCATCTAATGATCATCGATATCATGAACCTTTGAAAATCATCATCATGTCGGCTACTATGGATGTTGATAATTTTTCTCGATATTTCAATCAAGCACCAGTCATCTACATTGAGGGTCGCGTTCATCCTATCGAAATATTTTATACCGAATCTAAACAAACGGATTATGTAGCCGCTTGTCTTACCACATTGTTTCAGATCCACCAAGAAGAAGATGAATTGACTGTTATGGATGAACAAACAAGAAAGAATAATGATTTTATCCGTATTGGTGGTGATGTTCTTGTCTTCTGTACTGGTCAAGAAGAGATTGAAAATATGATCAAAATTGTTCAGAATTATTCCGCTCAAACAAATACGATGAAAACAAGTCGAGGAACTTTCAAAACATTGAAAGCATATCCTCTTTATTCTGCATTACCTAAAATCAAACAGCAAAGAATATTCGATCGTAATCCAAATGACTGTTTTCGTAGGGTCATTTTTGCTACAAACATTGCCGAAACATCAATCACTATACCAAATATTCGTTACGTAATAGATACCGGTAAATTTAAATCGAAATTTTTTTTACCAAAAACTGGCTTCGAAATAATGCGTGTTGAAAACATTTCGAAAGCACAAGCTTGTCAACGAAGTGGTCGTGCCGGTCGTTTAGCTCCGGGAAAATGTTATCGTCTTTATACTAGACCAGAATATCGTTCATTCACATCGTTTCCCGTTCCTGAGATTCAAAAATGCAGTATATCTACTGTATTATTACAGTTAATTGCTTTAGGTGTTAGCAATGTTCAAGCATTCGATTTTATTGATTCACCATCAGCAGAAAACATAGAATCATCGTTGAAAAAATTAATGAAAATGAAAGCTATTGAAAAAGTAAACGATTCCGATGTAGACTACAAATTAACCAAACTTGGGCAAACAATGGTGATGTTTCCGATTGATCCGAGATATGCTTTACTATTGATAAAAGCACAAAAATTTCGATGCACAGAAGAAATAATTACAATCATTGCGATGCTTTCGGTAGATAACGTATTCGATACATCTATGACTGATGAAAATGCTATTGCAATACATCGAAAATTTGCCTCTTCCGAAGGTGATCTAATCAAACTATTGAACGTATTTCGTCGCTATCGAGAAGCACAACAAAAAATGACCTGGTGTCAAGAAAACTATCTTCGTGCATATCAATTGAAACAGGCTGAAGAAATTCGTCAACAATTAGTCGATCTCTGTAAACAAGCATATATTGATTTGATCAGTACACCAAGTACAGAAAATGTACGTAAATGTTTGGCAATAGCATCTGGTGTTGGTGTTGGTCTAGGTGCAAATATTGCCGAATTACAACGGGATGGCGATTATCGTACCATAACATTTGGACAAAATGATCGTCCATCAATGAATGTTTTTATTCATCCATCTTCGTGTTTGTTTTCACAAAAACCTGAATGTATAATGTTTGTAGAATTAGTTCAAACAAACAAATCTTATATGCGTAATTTATGTTTAATTGATCGCAAATGGCTTATTGAGTAAAATAATGTTAATAATTTTCATTTTCAAATATTTGAGTTTGGGAAAAATTTAAAAGTGAAATTGGAATTCACAAGATGGCAGCTTTTGTAATCAACTAATTTGATGTGAGTCAAATTGCTCAAAATGGTGTCTGTCTGTGTAAATAACTTGTAATTTATGGGATTTTTCTATTAAATCCTATTGTTTTTCTTTACATAATTTATTATCCAAAACAAAACACAACGACAACAAACTTGTTGTCAATGACAATATATTGTATACAAAAACAGTGCGTATTATAACCAGTTTCATCTCATAAATCATAGTGTTGCACAAACTCCAAAGTTACCACTTCGATTTGATTCGATCGATTTTTATTAACCAAGATAAGTGTAAAAAGGTGAATCAAAATTCAATCACGTCAATCGAGTGAAGAAATTAAGGCAAATACAACACGTAATGATTGAAATTTGAACAAATGCTTTACATTCTTCTAAATCGCACAATTATCCATTCAAAGCGCACTTGAATATATGCCAAAAAAAATTTGAATCACTTGTTGATTGAAAGCCCTTGAATCTTTTTCGCATACAATTCATAATTATCATGCAAAATTCTGACTCAAACAATCCGGCAAAAACTACCGGACCACAGCAACCAACTTATCCACAATCACAACCTTATCCGGGTGTGGCACCACCACTTTTTAACATGGAACCTCCACCACCTTACTCGATGCAACCTCCACCAGGACCAGGATTTATTCATGTCCAGCAACCAGGTATACACTAAATCGATTGAAATATAATCGAACAATATTAATTTTCTTTTTTTAGGTAATCAAACATTTGGCACAAACCCTACACCCACTACAACCCATGTAATAACTGTTCAGCCAATTTCACTTGGATTATCACCTAATCCGGTTCAAATGACTTGTCCTAATTGTAATGCAACTACATTAACCGAAATAAGTGCCGTGCCCGGTTTGCTTACATATCTTGCTGCTGGAACATTATTTCTATGTGGATGCTGGGCTGGTTGCTGTTTGATTCCTTGTTGTATACCCGATTGTTTGGTAAGTTCATTTTATGTCATCCTTTATTCGATTTAATCAAATTTTATTCCACAATAAACAAATAGGACATTGATCATCGATGTTCAAACTGTAAGACCAATGTTGGCCGATATCGTCGAATCTAAATGAAAAAATTTCATCACATTACTAAGGCATGGTATATATTCGATTAAGTCAACTAAGTCAAATCATGTTAACAATAAACCGAACTTGGATTGTTTTATATGTGATCATGACGATATTATAATCTCATTTTAATTTTACTTTATGTTTGATTCGTTTTGTTCGCTTTTCATTTTATTTTCAAAAAATTGTTTTTTATCTATTATTTTTAAATATTTAATAAATAATCGGTACTTATGGAATAAAAGACCTTCAATTATTAATTGAATTTTTCATATAAAATTATATTCAAATAAAATTTGATTGCCATAATAATTCGATTGTTTTTTTTTTCATTATTTAATGAAAATAATCCAAAATATTCTTGAAACTTGTAATAAACATTTTTGTTTTCGTTGCGAAATTAAAATGGGACGTCACAATCGACAGAAAAATACTGTCGTTGTGGTCGTACAAGAACAAGGTTTTGTTCCAATACGTATGGTATGTCCATATTGTCATTCAAAAGTTTTGACCGAAATCCGTTATAAGGATGGTTTATTAACTTATATTCTTTGTTGTGGTTTAGTATTATTTGGGTATTTTATTTTTGATTAATATTTATTGTTTGTAATGATTAATTGTTCAATATAAATTATTATTTAAAAACAGATGTTGGTTAGGATGTTGTCTTATTCCATTCTGTGTACCTTCATTGAAAGATGTTGAACATTATTGTCCAGAATGTGGAGAACTCATTTACACTACTTTTCGTATTTGAATTTCAAAAATAATAATAATCAAAATATACAAATAGATCGTAAAAGTTATTGAAACCACTAATTCTATTATAATCATTGTAATAATTTTTTATTTTACTTTCCTAATCAATTTTATCATAATAATCAATGAATCATAATTAAAACAATAAAACCTTCAATTATATTATTTTCAATCAATTACATCAATTGATTGTAATGCTCATTCAAAATTGAACAAATAAAAGATTTTAAAAGGATTTTTTTTTGTAAAAATGTAAAATGGTTGCAAGATATTTGATTGACAATATGGTAGATATTTTTCATTCTGTGATAATCTAAAAGATTATCTCCTTGGATATACAACTTCAATACCATATAGGCGAATTCATATCTTAATATGTCAAGTCACATATACGATTAACGGTTGCAATTTGAATCAAAACAAGTAAAAGATGAAAATAAAGACAGATTAATATTGCAATAATCCAATTTGAATTTTGTCATGACAAAACTCTCACCTATTGTATTAGAGAAATATAAAAAGCAATACAAATAAGCAAAAAAAAAATGCATAATCAATAAATATATCGAAAACGTAGCACCATTTTTTTTTTTATAACAAAATCATCAAATATTTTGTTTAAAGAGGACTGGTTGTCAGAAAAAAATTGCCAATCCAAAAATTCCAATCATTTTTTTTTTGAAATAAATTGTTCTCTATCAATTGAATTAGAACTCGATTCAAATATTGTTACAGATATATTAACAACTGTCAATATCATTTTTATTTCATTACATCCAAAACTTTCTAAACAAATCTATTAGCCAAATTTTTAATAAATTTTTTTCTAAATATCGATAAACTTTTATTCTAAAAAGTAAGTTGTAATTTTTCTAATCATTAGACGCTTTTTTAAACAAATTTTTTTTATCAGTGTCATCGGATCCGGCACCACCAACAGTGATCGTCACTCAACCAATTGGATTAGATCCGGTTCAAATGAAATGTCCATCTTGCCAAGCTAACATTGTTACTGATGTACATTATGAGAATGGTTTGCTTACCTATATTCTTTCCGGTGGACTTTGTCTTCTTGGGTTAGTACCTTAGTAATATTTAGAGATTTCTCAATTAACAAAATTTCAATATGTTTACACAGTTGTTGGCTTGGATGTTGTTTGATTCCATTATGTGTTGATTCATGTAAAGATGTCGATCATTATTGCCCACTATGTCGTACATTAATACATAAAACTCGCCGTTTATAAATGAAATATCGATTGAATAAACATGAAGAATACAATATTCAAAATGATTCAAATCATGCAACATGTTACGTCCAGCAAACTTATTTGCAAAGATTTATTGAATGAATAAGTGAAATAAAAAATCTTTTCATTAAAAAAAAATAATAATAAATTGGCTTAGAATCTTTTAAAAAATAATAAATTTCAATCTGAAAATAAATTAACAAACAAGATAAAATTGAACAACTAAATTTCAACGAAATATAATCATCTGTGTATGTACTTGTGTTTGATTGAAATTGTGGATTTGCACTTTGTTAATGGAATATTTGAATCTATTTTGGCAGCAAAAATTTTTGGCATGTTCTAGTTGATTTCGATTATAATGAATTGGCAATCGTACTGATGGCCATTCGGTGTTATTAAGGAATGTAAGTAATATTTTGGCTAGATTTGAATCGATTGGTGGAATACTATTTTGTTCAGTTTTTTTCGATTTTTTTGAACGATTTTTCCGACGATTTCTACGTGGTTTGGCTACTTGGAATTCATTAAATATTCGATCCAGATAATTCATTCGATTCATTTGTCTCTCGTAATCGCTTGCTTTTTCTATGATTGCATTTTGAAAACAATATCCAATAAATGAATTCAGGGCACTTGATCGTTGTGTAACTGTACCGGAATCGCCAACCAAAGTCAAATGTTGACGAGCACGAGTGATAGCAACATTTAGACGTCGTTCCTCATCGAGAAATCCAATCGAACCACTATTATTCGAACGTACCATAGTATAAATGATAACATTTTTTTCTCTACCTTGAAATCCGTCAACCGAATTGATCTCTAACTCTTTATTGATACGACGGGAGAATTCTCGTTGACAAACGGCTTCGATTAAAGTTGTTTGTAATCTATAGGGCGTAATTACGCCTATAATCAAGTTTAAATTTTTGATTTAAAACAATTAGAACAACTAATGACAACGTACCAATATTGGATGCCGCTAATCCTTGATCCAAAAGTTTTTTGATGATAATACATACGATTTTCGCCTCATATATGTTACCCTTTGATGAGCGGAATGCTTTACTTTGTGAATTCATTTCTCTCATATCACAACCGACCGTATCGACGAATCGTAAAACTGGTAGCGGACGTCTAGTTCCTTTCAATATCAATTGATGTGAAGCAACGAAAGGTGCGGCAACCAAACGACTCTCGTAAAAATAATCGGAAGGCCATTGCATGATCAATTTGTTCATACGATGTTGAACTGTTAACATTCGTACTACTTGTTGTGGACAATGAGCAAATAATTGTTTTGTAACTCGTTCGAGTAAAGAGATATTAAGTCCTTCCTTGGCAGCTTCAGGCGAACATATTGTTGGTGGCAATTGAAGATGATCACCTGCCAGTATACATTTATCAGCAAACGATAACGGAATCCAAGTACATGGTTCACTTGATTGACCACATTCATCCACGATAACGACGTCGAATGAAAAATTCTTCAAATCCATATCACTCCATAAATTTTTAAGAAGACCCTGGTAGATAGACGAACTCGAAAGTGTTGACATTAAAACGTTTGCCTTTCGAATCTTTCGTTCAATTTGTTTTTTTCCGAAATCACTTGTTTTCGTTTTAGAATTTGATTTAACAATATATTTGCGAATTTTTGGATCAACTCTAACAGGATGACCAATTCGTACGAATGAATAACCAGGTTTAACACGATATTTTTGACATAGATTTTTATCATATGAATCGACTAACTGTTTGAAAATATTATCAACAGCCACATTAGACGGTGCACAGACCATCACTCGAAATCCTCTAGTAATCAATTGAAGAATCAATTCTGTAAGTGTTGTTGTTTTTCCTGTACCGGGTGGTCCATGAATTACGGCCAAATGTTGTTGATACAATGAGAATTCAACAGCTCCTTTTTGACAATTATTTAATTCAGTATTGAACCATTCAATTGTTTCTGATCCGTTTTGTCCATTAGAAAAAGGTAAACCTCGAACATATGGCGCCAACATTGTTAATGGATTCAATAATGGTCTATGACCCATTAATAAACCAATTAAATAGACAACCGATGATCGTGAAACCATTTTTTTCAACGTAAAAACTATTCGCATATAAGTGATATCTTTGACCACTTTAACAAAATTGAGTGAAAATTGGTTTGGATATTTTTTGGATAAATTTACATCACAATCGATTTCAATTTTTGATGATTCTACTTTTAACGCGTGTCCTATTGCAATTGGTTCTGTTTCATCATCAAAAGTGATACCGACAAAACTACGAAGTAAACGGCATTTTTCAAGATTTAACTGATCTTTTTTTTCTTGTGGTAAGCTTAAACAAATAACATTGATGCCATCATCTAAATATTGGTTAGTTATCTGTAGATTTCGTAAAGCAAATCCAGCTTTTTCCAAATCTTCGATTGAATTATTAGTTAGTAAATCTCTTTTTGTTTTCATTTTTCAAAAAGAAACCAAATAAAATGAATGAATTTTGAATTTTTCTAAAAATTACTTACTCATTTCTTAGAACTTCTTCTTCATGTTCCAATCGAATCAATTGCAATTGTTTTTCTACCCATTCTTCTAGATTGATTATTCTATCTGCCATCGTCTATGGTTAGAATTAAATGTAATGATTTAGACAATAATAATCGATTCTAATATTAAAACGACAAAATCAATAGGCGTACTATATGCATACGATAAATATGACATCATCTTTTAAAAATATTGTAATAATCAGAGCCAATTATTGTTGTTACCATTGGATATGGTTACCAATATGATTGTTGTGACATAATTAATCTCTTAGAGACTAGCAATGACTAATTACCGTTTTAGGAATTTAGAAATTAAAAAAAAAATCAACTTAAAAACTTTCAACAATTGCTTTAATTTTCCATAGAATTACATTTTGTTCAAGTGTATTGAAATTGATTAATATAATAAAATAAAAGATTTTGCAACTGTTGATTGTTAAATAGAAATAATGATTATGGATGCAGTATATAAAATTGAATTTAATCGAATCGAATCAAATCAAACCGAATTGATGATAAAATATCATGGCGTTATGGTGCTATAATGATGAATAAATGAAAATGTATAAATGAAATAAAGCTATAGAGATATAGCTCGATGATTGCCTACTGTAATTCATTCAGTTATTGATGATGCAATTTCTAATTTGTAGATTAATCGGAAATTAATCTTGAATAAAAAACTTCAAACATAAAGAACACACAACCATCATTCAATGAATGAGTGAATGATTATTTTAATGATGAATAATTAAATGGGTTTTTACTGTTTAAACTTCGATGTTTATTCGTGCAAAAAAAAATTTCATTTATTCATTTGTTTCCATTGTGATCAAATCATCAGCTTGACAAAAAAAAACTTTAAATCGATTTCAACAAGTGAAATTATACAAATAAACATGGATCATGATCAAAGCAATAACAGAATAAACAAACCAATTAATGAAGGTAAGGAAAAAAATTTCACAAAAATTATTCTTTATTTAAATTTATTTCTATGTAATTCTTTTGAATTCAGTACCCAAAACAAACTATTCAACAATGTTATTGAAAGAATTAAAAAATCAAATGACATTAACACGTGAACCAATTGAAATTGATTGTCCTGAATGTAAGAATAAGACAATGACAAGAACGCAACAGGTTAATGGACAATTGACATATCTTATTTGTGTACTTTGTACATTAGGGTAAGTAAATTTCATTTGAATTTATTGAAAAGATTTCATTATTTTTCTGTCCATTTCAACATATTTAGATGTTGGTGTGGATTATTGCCCATGATCATTGATGATTTCAAGGTTAGTTTGAATAAAATAAACAATAATTGAAAGAAAAAAATATTTAATTATAATTTTTCATCACAAAATAATGGATAACTGATTCGATAATGATAAAAAAAAGGATATTAAACATAATTGTTCAAATTGTGGAGCGATCATTGGTACTCATTATCTTCGACTTTAACTAATGACTATGAATATATTACGATGATAAAATAATTCCTACTTTAAACTATTGTAACAATTTTTTTTTCTTTTTCTATATGCAATGTACAATATGAATAAAATTTGAATGCTTACTAAATACAAATGATTCTAAAAGATAATGAAATTATCGCCAAAGAAAAAAAAATGTTTTATAATGACAGTTATGAAGATATGATTATGTCGAATCATTGATTAGATAATAAAAGTAAAAACCGCAATAAATTGGTTTTTCACACAAAAAAAATGACGAAACCAATGATAACTTAATGATGATCTTATGGACATTAACACTTTTTTTCAAGTACTAACCTCGATTGTAATTTTTAAAAAGATTTTGATGAAATCGCCAATACAAATGTCGAATGTGATTTTAAACTGTTTCTATGACATGAATTTCAAGAACTATCTTTGAAATTAATCCCTTTTATAAATTTTTTTTTTGTTGAATTATAAGATTTAGTTATGTTCAAATTTGGCGACCATTGAACGTCTTCAATGAATATCTCATATTTTTCGTTCTGTTTTCGATCGTTGATGATGCTGCCGAATCACATTTGTATTGCGTATGAACAGTGCTGTTGATGATGATGATGCTAGTTTGAGTTTTTGGCCATAGTCACAATGTATGATATATCATCATATTTGTCTCATTTCATTCACCTTTTTACAATTGTTTTATGATGTAAAAAAACGTATACGTTCTCATTCTGACTTTACCTTTATAACAATTTTTTTCGTTATTTTCCATTTGCTTATTAAAATAAATTTTTTGCATGTTTACGACTAATACAAGTTTGTGTGAAAAATTCACGTTAAATTTTACGTTATATTGAGTAGGCATTCATATTTCGTAGTCGTATGATCATCATCAAGTGGTGTGATGAATTTGTGAGTAGCATCCTTTTCATTTTACCAAACAACCACAACCATCAGCAAGAATCGAATAACCAAACGACAACGACCTGAACTTGGTAAAATATAGTCAATTTAAATAAAAAACAAATCAAACACAAATCCGGAAACTTTTGTTTGTTACTGGTGTAATTGATTTTGTCTCGACTTCGTTCACGTTAAATTGATATTATTTTTTTATCGAATGGCAAGTTTTTTCCTATAATTATGGTATATGCCTTTTTCATTTAATCATTTGATGCAGGTTTTTGTTTTGTCATTTGTTTATTAGTTGAATGTTGATGCACTTTAACCCTTGAAGCATTTTTTTTATCAACAACTATCACCATAATCGATTGGATTTTTGACAAATTCATTCATTTTGTCGTCTGTCATTGTATTCATCTTTTTGTGACAAACGTGGAAAAAATTAGCTTCTTTACAAATTGATAAAATAACGGACAACCCAACCAACCAAGGACAATCCTAATCAAAATTACATGGAAATTAAAGTGCGCGTTTGTGTTTATGTATGTGTATCCATTCTCAACTGAAAAATAACAAATATTGTGTGAAATGAGCGAACGTATTAAGACATTTTTTTCGAATTTGATGACCTCGACTTTCTATGCACAACAAAATATTTACATTTCAACAATTGAACAGCTACAACGACGACATCTAATAATCAGCGTTCATCACTAAGAAAAAAAACACGTCAATTTTTTTTACACATTTTTCAATCAATGTTTACAATGATCCAAATATAAGTCCTATGGCCATTAGTCAATTCTTATTATTATCATTATCAAATCAAATTAATTTGAATAAGGTTCGATCAAAAATTTTCTCATTTTAGATCTGTTTCATATTTTATTGCTGCCGTTATAATATCTTCGAATTCTCGATTACTACCAATTAATTGAAGTTTTTATTGGACCACAAAAAATAACTATAACAAAGAATTCTGATTAAAAATGGATGTTGATCTCACAAACAATTCATCATCATCAGATTCTACCGATCCGATTACATCGGAATTATTACAAAAATTTTCTTGTCTCAATACAACTGATCATGATGTATTGATTAAGCAATTTAATCTATTACTTGGTGAAAAATGTTCAGATTCAACGGCTGAATTCTGGTTAGATATGAACAATTGGTAAGTAATAATGATTTTACTGCACCAAGCTAATTCATTATTCTTTGTAATTTTTAGGAATTTACAAGCAGCAATCTGTTCATATTTTGACTACGAATCTACATTACCCCAAAATTATCTGCAAAAATTGCCCGAAATACAGATTAAACCGGAACCTAATATATGCGAATGTTTGCCGAACAGTTCATTCACTTATCGCTGTACTGTTAATAATTCAGGTTCGTTTTTCTAATTCATGGTATTCTGAATTAAAGATTTAAGTGCATGTGTGTGTGTACATGATACTATTTTTAGTCAAATAATCATTAATTGTATTTTGGGTGTTGAGAGTTATTAATATTTTGAAAAGTTGTATTAAATTATGACAGTTCTTATTCTATATGATGAGTAACAAAGCTAAATGTATAAGAGAACGAAAACCATTTTTTTGAAAGGATTTTTTTAGTGATAAATTCATTCAATTTTTTTCATTCAATTTGACAGGTGATGAACCATGGCCATACGGATGTACGTTAAGATTTTATGGTGGCCATCAAATGACTCATGAAGAACGATTTCTCCTGCCTAAACTACAACCTGGACAATCATGGACATTGCAAATGCAATTTACGTCGCCAGATAAACCAGGCCTTTATGAATCGCAATGGCGTTTTTCTGCCATTACTGGTCAATGTTTTGGAGGTAATATATCTTGTTCGATTTGTTTAAGATTTTGAATGTCTTTTTTTTTCTTTAGAAACGATTTGCATGATCGTTCATGTGATGGATGATCTCAATCAGGTCACTAAACAATTGTCAGCTGCTCATATTGTCGATAATATACAACAATCAACACAACAGAATCAAGTCATTTCCGTTTCGGAACAAAAACCACAAAATTCTTTTGTGTTTTCTGGTCCACATCAAGCCATTACTTTTCAAACTCCGCTTGCACAACGGCCGAATTTCATTCATCATCCGCATCAACAATCGAATCAGGAAAATGACCATGAAAATATAGACCATCAACAACAAAACGGTCTCAATAATAATTATAATCATCTGAATAATGATCATCAGAATGTTATATCACCGTCAACCATGATAAATAATCATCCTCAACATGATGGCAGTGATAATGATTCTGCAATGACATGACATACTATTGATTAAAGATTTTGGCTAGCTTTGGTATATAGATTGTTGTTACCGATATTGTTAACATTTGTTGATGCGTATGAATTGATTTTTTAAATTCTAGTTTATTATATCTTTTCACAATTTTTGATCGATTTGGTTCAATCATTTTTATTATTGATCCATCGATTGAATATTTGCAAAAGATGCCTAAAAAAGATCTATTACATGTATATGATATAATATGATTATTATTTCAATAATCTTTATTTGAAAATTCTTTACAAATAATACACAAATAAAATGATAAAATTTTTATTTTTATTCTTCTTAATCACCTTCAAATTACAAAAACAATTTTATCGTTTATAATAGAATAGATTTTATTCTAATCACCAATGCAAGCATGCGGTGGAAATCTTGTATCACAAATATGTGAACAACAATCTGAATCGGTACTGCAAGGTTCACCATTACCTTTACATGCGATAACCATATCGATTGTTATGAACATGATAGCGATGGCCAACATTAACATCCAAATGGACAATTGACGTGCGTTTGGTAATTCCATTTTCTTCAATACGATTACAATCTGATCTTTAGTTTTAGGTGTGTGTATGCAACAAATAAGAAAACTTTCTCTCTTTTTCTTTGTTTTCGTAATGATTTTATAGTGTATATTGATCAATCTGATTTTTAAGTATAACGCGCTAGATTACGTTTCAATCCGGATTTAATCCACTTAAACTGATTATTATCTAAAAACAAAACAAAACAAAAATTGTTTTGATCATAGTTATCAATCAAGGATCCCAAATATTGAATCGGTTGATTACATTCTACATTAATTTCGATTGCAATCATTAAACCATGTATATATGCTACAGGAAATCGTCAATACTATAATCATCAAATGACCGTAAATTTATTCCCATAAATAATTACATATACCTCCTCAATGTAAAAAAAATTGCCAAATTAAAGCAAAGCATTCGATTTATTGATCTTTTCATTTACCTAAAGTTCTATACATAAATCCGTTTATCTTAATCAATCTTGTTTACATCCAGATGGTGACCAAAATAAAAGAAAAATATACACATAATAAAGTAATGAGTACGCGTAATGATAATGACAGTTGGATGATCAATTGAATTTCTTTACGTACATTTACATCATCAGCATCACCATTATTGATCAAATATAATGGAAAAAATTTCCGGTTTTTTCGCGTTTCCTTTCAATCAATCAGGTTCATTGTATTCGAAAAAAAAGGGGGAAACGAATGAGTCAAAAACCAAAAATCTTTCTTCCATTAACGTTAACATCATCACAGACACTTGTGTGACCAATTCCAATTTTAACCTCGATACACTGAACAAAAGTTACGAAAGAAAACGAAAACAAAAATCTAATCACTTTCCCAAAGATAAATCATAATCTAAAACAAGATGATATCGATTGTCATGGTAGTAATTAGAAATGATTGAATTGTCTTCGGGGTATGATTGTTTTTATTTTTTCACATGGGGTAACCAAAAAAAAAGATAAGAAAATTTTTTTCCTTGACCCTTTTGAATAAATAAAACTACCAAATAAACCAGATTGAAAATATTGATATAAAACACAGTCTTAATATCAATGATGATGATGATGATTTGAATGAAATGAAAATCACGATTTATTCAAATCAGTTAATAAACAAATCTAATTTGCCTTATCAAATTAAATTTTTGTTTCTATTTTGATGTGATTCAATGATCGATGATGTTTGTTGATGGATGTATGATAAAGAAAAGATCTAATCAAAATCTAATATGCTATTGAATCATTTCAGTTAATTGAACATAATGTGTTTTGAATTAGAAACTAATTAATATTGATCAATACCCACCCACATATAGATTTTTGGATGTTGGCGGCCATCAATGGCAAAAAATTTAATTAATTTACCAAATCGAATTAAAAATTTTTAATTTAATTGATTTTTTTATTTTTCGAATGTTCATCATTCCATAATTTGATTTTTTCTTTAATTTCCATCGACCCTATCTTAAGACCGAATCGTGAGCATGAATTTTGTCAATTTTCAATTTTAATTCAAATTTCATTTTGTCTACATTCATTTAGATTTGATTTTCTGAATAATTCATTCAAATCGATTTTTCTATAATTTTCCGAGTCCCCCCTCAAAAAAAATGAAATTTATATGATCAAAACTTTCACTGTTTTCCGATCAAAAAATGTCAAAATTTGATTTAGTCTGTTCGTTGGATAGTTTTTTTTCATTTGGAAGAATTTCAATTTCAACAAAACGAAAATGAAATTGAATTTTTTTGGTGAAGAGTAAAATATTAGATATGACCCAATTTTTTTTTGGCCAAAAAATTTTTATAACTTTAAGTAATATTGATTGATCCAAAAAGAAAAATCATACCCAGTAATCGATTTTTTCTTTTCTTTTTTGGAATTCATTTTGTCATCATTTGGATCAGACAATTGATTTCAATTTGATTCAACAGTTTTTCTTTTATTGTTATCGGTTTGTTTGTTTACAACAGGCATTAGTGATGTTTATAAAAAAACGACAACAACAACATAATCCAAATTAGGTCGGTAATGATATTTTTTACTTTTAAAAAATTGCCCATTTTTTTGTTGTTGTTTAAAATTGGATAAATCAGTTGAATGAATTGATTTTACAGGATTTCAATTCGAAAAATGGACAAATACAATATTTAGAAAAATTTGTGATCATTGATGTTGTTGACCTAATGAAAATAGTTTATTAAAATTCACAGATTCAACTGTTGTTGTTTGCTCTCAAATTATAATCAAAATTTACAAACACACGCACACAATGTGACATAAGTTTGTTTTTTGATCATTGATTCACTTGATTGAATTTGTGAATTTAAATCCAATAAATAAATCAAAAAAAAAAGAGAAACTAGATGATTTGCATGATTGTTCAAACAATTGCTGGAAAAAAAATTTTGTTCGTGATCCAGTTCATTTGATTATGTCATTAATTGTCACCAGAGACGTCAGAACCTTCATTGTGTGTGTATTTGTGTTTTTTTAAAGTGTCATCATTTCAGGTCCGATGAAAGAGAAGAATAATTTATCCATTCTTTTGTTTGAAGAATTTTATTTTTAAATACTGGTTTATTACATCAACGAGAAAAAAAACTATAATGTTTTTCGGATTCAAATGAATTTCAATTTTTTATTTCTATGTTTTCTTACGATCATTGAATCCATCATAGGGTGGTCAACAACACGCAAACCAAATCATTTGAAGGTAAATGACCGAATTTAATTCGAAAATTTCTTTGAATTCAGAATTTATTTGTTCATATTTCATTATTATTGTCATAAATCGTTTTAAGTAGCCATCGTTGACACATCAATCAATCAATCAATCAACCAAGCATTGTGCCGAGCACAATGCATACAAAATTCAAGGAGATAGGAGATGTCATTGCTATTGATCTTCATCGTTTTATGGTTTTAAAATCCAATAGTTCAGACAAACCATCAACAATTTTCTTTATTTTCTTTTGTTGAATTTTTACCTTCAAATGATTTTTTTTCTTTTAATTCAATTTCATCATCCTCAAACATCATGATGAATGGATAATAAAGAATGTTATAAAACAAAAAAAAATACGATTAAGCAGAAAAAAATTTAAGGAAATGATCTCGGATTTCATTCGATTGTATTTGTGATTGGCTTTTTTATCCTTTTTTTCCATTCGTTAGGATTCGATTGTTCTTCATTAAGGTGATGGAGAAATTTTTTTTTTCGCTGAAAATTCAAATAATTTGTTTTTGTTGTTGTTGTTGTTTTCGAGGTGAACAAAAACAAAAATTATCGGATATTTAAAATTTGATTTGATCATAGATAATAGTTGTTTGAAGCTTCTGTGATATCAAACAAAACAAAAAAATTGTTCATAAAAATCCACATCTTTTTCACTATCCATGAAAGAAAATGAACAATTTTCCTTTCCGATCTTAATGATCAACCCATAAACGAATCTTTATATTCGTTTAGTTGAAAGTGAACTTTTTCTTGAAATGGTTTACTAAGGTATTACAATGGTTAAGGATTATTTTTTTTCCGACCCACACAATTGATGTCAGATAGATTTACAATATAATATGATTCAATAAGGCGCATTTTAATTCGTATAAAATTGAAAAAAAACTAAGACTATATGATCATTATCGTTTTTTTGTTTTGTTCTTTTGTTGTTCAACCCGGGATAAAGAAAGATAGTAATTGATTATATCAAGATGATGATGATGATGATACACCGACGCTGAATTTAAAATCGATCTCAATGGTCATTGTAGATCCATCATCAATCTAATTATGGAAACTTTTAACAATAATAATGATGATGATGGTAAAGAAATTTTTTTCGTTTCTTTGCTGTATATAAAATTAGAACATAAGCATCCAAAACGATCATCCACGTTCATTTTATTTCATAGTAGTTTTTTTTGTTGTTGTAAAAGTGACAAGTAAAATAATAATAATAATAATTCAGCAACTTGAAACATAATATACAATGGAATGGTTAAGATCATCTATAGAAGAAAAAAATTATAATCTTTTTCAAATGAAACAGTTTTTATTTCTCAAAAAACGGATCTTTTTTTTTCTTTTGAATCATCCAAATTACACGTGTGTCTCAAAAATGAAAAAACCTACAAATTATTTAAAACTATTCATCATCAAACATCATCAATAGGCTGTCATCATTATTGTTGGTAATATTTGAATGTTGTGAACCAAATAAACAAAAAAAATAGAAAAAAATTCCGTTATGTTTGTCATAATTATCATTATTAAGTTGTTGGATAAATGAGTTACCGTGAGAAAAAGAAAATAACTGCTCTACATAAAATTTTGTTTCGCTTCATTCCAATGCTTGGCCAACAATTTTCAAACAATTACTTCATCTTTAAAACCAAACACCACTATCAAAATACAGCATTTTGATTCAATAAATTAATTGTGATTGATTCATTGATCCATTCAATCTCAATTTTCGAAAAAAAATGTCATCAACATCATTAAAAATTTTCCCCGTAGATTGAAAAAATATCCATTATTATCATCATCATCATTGCCATACTCATCG